GATCGCCGGGAAGAAGCAGAGCGGTACTGAGAGCTACGCCGACGTTAATATCATCGGCACTATCGTTGGCCATAGCTGGCTTATCTTCCAGAGTGATTTTAGGGGCCCAGGGGGCATCATGTTTTTTGGACCCCGAGGTGGTTGCAGAGGATGACCTCGGCCTCTTTGATTTCGGAGAACCGGATAGTTGGGCCTCGGCACGCCTCTTCTCCGTGGTAGGCTAGGACTTGTCACTTTCAGCCAGTTTTGAGATTGGCAAGGTGTCCTCAATGTCAACCTGAGTCACCTTTGCCTTAGGCTGAGCCTTCTTTATCCTCTTTTGCTTTGGTAGAGGCTGGGTTTGTATTGGTTGAGCGTCAACATCAGAAGGGATGCTGGCTAAGAGGTCCTTGGCAACTACCTTTTAGCGGCCCATCTCGGCGGGAAAAACAGTTCGTCGCCGACGACGGCGCTAGGATATCGGGATAAGATATGGAGCAGAGGTAGACAGTTGCTTAGCTGGATCTGAGGTTGATCCCTGGTCTGTCTGAGATGTGGACGCGACTTGTGGAGTTGTGACAGATGGTGGAGAAAGGCTTTTCTTCTTCCTTCTTGGGACGTCGGGAAGAGCCGACTTATAAGTAGGGATGAAGTTGAGAAGCAGAGGGGCCTTCCGCTTGTGAACTGGCAAATTCAGTAATTTTTTCAAGTCTTTGCTGGGAAAGAAAGACTGTCGGAAGCCCTTTGGTGGCTGAGGAAGAACTGCAAAAAAGAAAAAAGCGTGGACATTAGAACAAGATGTTGAAAACTTTACAAAAAAAAAGCAAGAAAATTTGTGAAGGGTGGCCCTTACCAGCTCCTTCCCCGAAAACTGTTCGATTTCGGGGATAAAGATGGAGGAGGTCATCGTTTGGCTGAAATTCCCAGTTACTCGAGACGATGAAGTAATCATCCCCCGCTCCCTTGTTGGAGTCAGGGAGGTCGGCAATGATTTTGTATTCAATGGATCTCGGCTTGAGGTAATAGATGTCACCTTTTTCTGATTTCAGGCGACACATGGTATAACAGTACTGGAAATCGGCAAGAGTAATCCTAGCATTCTCTTGTTTGGCTAAAGCTATGGTACCGTTAATAACTCGGTAAGAATTGATGGCAAGTTGCATTGGGTTCAACTTATAGAAATTAAAGGATTTCACAGAAAAAAGGGTCAAGTGGAAACCTAAGTCCGCACTCAATAAACGTAACCACGGGGAAAGGCATAAAGTTTACATCGGGCATAATAGAGTCATCCTCCCCAGCCAACCTCAGATGAACATTAGCTGAGATTTCGAACTCCTGCCTAAAGTATTCTAATTTTGTCGGGGTGTTTACCCTATGCTTCCACATATCCATGGCGTCGACTTAAACGGAGATATCGAATTTCTAGACGAAGTATTTTTGTAGGGTTTAAAAGACCTCGGCTAAAAATCTACAAATATACTATGATAAGGGTTTGTATGGATCTAGAAGGAATTCGTTTCAATTTTTTCTAAAAATTGTGGGTTCTACAAACAAGTCCCAAACCTAAAACTATGGGGATGAAGGTTGAAGGAACGAATCTGGAAAACAGAAAAACAGGGATCCGTTTCAGAAACAAGAATGGTGATGAAGCCATCAAGAAATCAAGACAAAAAGTTTGCACAAGTATATCAGGCCAAGAACAATGGCAGAAATCAACATGTATGTGAACAGTGCGAGTGTTCAAGACATGGGCAAAGAGCAAAATTATGAAATAAACATGCTCAGATACATGATTCACGAATCAAATATTTGGGTAAAACGGCAATGGCGACTAATGATGAAACAGAATTCCGTAGAACATAACAAGAATTAAAACCAGAAGGAGTGGTGGCTTACCAGAGAAAAGAAGCCGATGCTTGAGGTCGCTGAAGTCAGAAGAGCGGCGGCGATGGAACAAGTTGGCAAGAACTTCGCCGGAAGAAGTGAAACAACGATTCCAGCAGAGCTTCAGAACTTAGAACAATAGAGGATGAGAGAAAGCAAGAGAGAGAAAAAGTTTGAAAAAAGACGATGAAAAGTGGTGAGACGAAAGGGGGAAAACAGGTTTTGTCAAAAAACTTGAAACGGCGGCAAAAACAGGGCAATTAATATGCCTGGAACAGCTAATACGTCAGACGGCGCATGTAGGCACGAGACGACTTACAAGCGCGTAGCAAGTACGATCCAGTGAGGGGAAGGCACGTGGCTTAAACGGTTGAGTTGTTATGTATAACAGCTCATACGCGTGAAGAAGCCCTTGGGATTCTTAATCTTTAAGAAGACATATCGGCCTATGATGATGATCTCGGCTTACGCCGATGTACTGACAGGAAGTACCGATATAGGTTCCATCACCTCAGGATGCCGAGGTAATAGAACCTAGGGAGCAGTTGTGGGAATATATTTTATGTGTCCCAACATGTGACCAAGGTGACGCCGAGGTGCCATGTGTCCAGGACATGACGCCGAGGTGATCTCAGCAAGGCCGAGGTTATCTCCGAAGATATTAGAATCCGAGATAAGCGGATAAGGCACAAGAGTCCTAGAATGAGGAGGGAGTATAGCATGGATGAGGATAACACTCTTAGGGAATTTATCTTTATCTCTTAGAGAGTCCAGGATAAGCACTGAACAAGAGTCCATTGAAGCTAGGCTTCTGTTGGGACAAGGATTGAGTTAACTATAAAAGAGAGGCACCCCCGTGGGTCTATGGTGCACAATTTATGTTCTGAACAGTGAATTCAGCACTATTGATTATCTTTGAGAAATATACTGACTTGATCGTCGGAGTGCCCCCGGGTGGACGAACCACCACCGGAATCTTCTCTTTCTGTTGCAGGTCAGCAAGCACTGAACAAGAGTCCATTGAAGCTAGGCTTCTGTTGGGACAAAGATTGAGTTAACTATAAAAGAGAGGCACCCCCGTGGGTCTAAGGTGCACAATTTATGTTCTGAACAGTGAATTCAGCACTATTGATTATCTTTGAGAAATATACTGACTTGATCGTCGGAGTGCCCCCGGGTGGACGAACCACCACCGGAATCTTCTCTTTCTGTTGCAGGTCAGCTAGGTGTCATCTATTTTGCCAATTCTCTCCAACTGAATACTGAGTTAGGCAGTGTGATCGGAAAATCACTCACACAATATCCATTACACATTCCAAAATTAGATCGTTTTGTTTCAACTTTAAATTTGAATCATTCTATTATCACAAAAGACCATTGCAGAGATCGACGACAGAGTATCCTAATCCTAATAAAACTAATACTTGAGCCTTAAAAAATGTTGGCTAAAGACCCAACAAACTTGTAGTAAGGACAACACCAACGGATTAGTTTAAGGCTTCTTTTGGGAATTGAAGTGGCAAAATGAGCTGTTCAAAAATTCAGTGTCAAGACTCTCGAAAAGAAAAAAGCCAATTCAGCTTTGATGTATAACTACTGATATAAGGCAGATAGTACTCAGAACATATATATATATATATATATATCAATTATGAAGGCTCTGTTTGTAAGGTATATCAATATATCAATTGATTGAGCTGCTTCTGGGAAACCTACCACTGTTTTCAGAGAGAAATCAACTTCACCCTTGGACAACTCAATTGCAGAAGTCATTTCTGACTTGGATTCTTCATTTTTCAATGGTGGACTTAAGCTAACTATGTCAAATGTGAAATTCTAAATTATTATTTTCAATTCATTGGTTTATTTAGCTTTAAAAAAGGGAAGAAAAAAAAAAAAACCATGTCTCATTTGACAAATGCAATTCCAACCAGAAAGTCCAAATTAGCCAGGTACTGGCTTATTTCTTGCTCAAAAGCCCAATGGGAGAGGGCATCCCATTAGTTTTTAGTAGCTTCCCATTTTGCCCCTACTCTTCTTCCCTATTCTATTTTTGGCCTTGTATTGAAGGGTAAATTGATCATTTTGCATTAGAAGTCAAATAGTAAAACTAAAAAACTATGAACGTGCCAAATAAGAAGAAATTCTTAGAGCATGTTTGGTAACGTTTACGTTTTCAGTCTATATTTACAAAAAATTTATAAACTGATTTTTGTTTATTTTTAGAAAAACATAAACTACAAACGCGTTTAGTTTAGACAAAATATTTTTAAAAATTTAAAAATATAAAAAAGAGTGAGAAATGGCAAGTGGTGGCGGGTGGTGACAAGTGGTGGCGGTAGAAGACAGTGGTGGAAAATGATAGCAGGTGGTGGTGGCGGAAGACGGTGGTGGAAAATGGTGATAGGTGGTGAGTGCTGGTGGCAGAAGACAGTGGTGAAAAGTGGTGGCAAGTGGTTGGTGGTGGTGGCGGAAGACAGTGGTAGAAAGTGGTGACGGTGGGTGGTGGGTGGCGGGTGGGTGGTGGTTAGTGGCAAATGAAGTAGTGGAGGAATATAAAAGTTCAAGGAGGGAGACTTATTTTTAAGGTGGATTTTGAGAAGGCATATGAGTGTCGGCGGCAGCAGGGGGTGTGTGGTGGCGACGAGTGGGTGGCAGGTGACTGGTGGTGGTGGCAAGTGGGTGGTGAGTGGTGGTGGCAGGGATGGGTGGTGGCGGCAGAGGACGGTGATGGAAAATGGTGATGGGCAGTGGCTAGTGTTGGGTGATAAAAATAAAATAAAAAAAAACTCAAAACTCAAAACCCAAAATTCAAAACTCAAAACGTAAACTCATTTTTTGAGTTTACTTTTTTTAGTCAAATTTATAAACTAAGACTACTAATTTATAAATCAAAAATTTACCAAACAAGTTTTTATTTGAGTTTTTAAAATTTTTATAAATATAAACTGAAAACGTAAGTGTTACCAAACGCCACCTTAGCATTCTTTTTTATCAGCTTATTTTTACCCAATAAGTTGACTTCTTAGGTTACTCGGGGAAAAAAAAAAACCGACTTCGAGCATTGCCAATTTGGCTAGAAACCAGGTTACCTTACCATCTCAACCAACAAAATTGCGTGAAAGAAAAAGCTAAAAGACAAGAAAACCCGGGAAATTCAAGCCCTTCAAAACCGTTCAACATATTCTTGCCACTAGTTAGGTAAACATCATAAAGCTAAAAAAACATCATAAAGCTAAAAAAACTCCATTATATAAAGCCCAGTATTTGTGCTGAACACAACAAAGTTAACCTAATCTTCAGTCAACCAAGTTTTTTTTTTTTTTTTTTCCACGATTACCCCCATTGATATTGCCTGTATCCCCCAGATATACAGTCTGCTTCATTCCCAGTCACGGATGAACAAACGAGTAACATAAGCAGAGCGAAAATAACTAAATGCTCATAAAATTCACTGTTACACAACCCCAGAAGGAAGACGGAGCACAAGCTGACCTCCAAAAACACTGCAAACCAAAAGGACTTGTTAAAAATGAATAAATAAATTGCATTCAACGAATGCTTGATTGTCTGAAGAACATGAATATGTTGTCATGAAAAGTTCATTTGACCTTTTTATGTAATAGTAACAGAAGTCTGCTAGTATGAAAGTTTGAACAATTTCAGATATAAGAACCATCGAAGGCCATAATCCATAACCTAGTGCTGTCAGAAGATGCCCACGACTGTCCAAAACCTGTTGAAGGCAATAGAAAATGAAGAAATAATGGCAAATCATACATCCAATTGTGTAGAAGATTAAGTAAAGCAAACTTACACCGCTGCAAGAAAGGTCAAATTCACAAGGATAGAGTTGACAACCATAATGGCACAAGTTATTAGATCATAATTTTGGTAGAACACATCTATTGTCCATAAAGCCAATAAATGTATTAACTCTTCAATTACAATAAGGCAATGTCTTTCAGCTCAGTAAATGAAATTTAATTTCGTTGGTGGTCTTTGTGATGGAAAATAACTTCTTAAATCAAGAGGCGGGGATTCAAGTAGGGGAGGAATATAGAAGTTCAGGGAGGGAGGGACTTATCTTTAAGGTAGATTTTGAGAAGGCATATGACCATGTGAATTGGCAACTTTTAGATTTTGTAATGAACAAGAAGAGATATGGTGAGCGGTGGAGAACTTGAATTAAGAGATGTTTGTCGACTTGTAACATGTCAGTCATAGTTAATGGTAAACCAAATGATTGTCTTAGGGCTTCGCGGGGGCTACGACAAGGGGACCGATGGAAAATAACTTCTTAAATGTATTAACTTAGCTTTATTCAAAGCAAGAGGTGAATAGACCGGGTATTGAAGGACTTGAGTGGGGAACCGTTGATCAGGCAATTGCAACATGGCTTGAAAGGCCTTTTGATGAAACAGAAATTTGAGAGGCGGTCTTTGATTATGAGAGAGACAAAGCTCCAGGTCCGGATAGTTTTTCCATGACTGTCTTTCAGGATTGGTGGGAGGTGGTGAAAGGGAATTTGTTGAGAGTGTTTTTGAAATTTTATGAATCAAGGGTTGTTAATTTGAGCTCAAATGCCACATTCATCTATTTAATTCTTAAGAAAGTGAATGTTATAAGAATTGGAGATTTTAGACCTATCAATTTGGTAACATCACTCTAAGATTTTGGGAAGGCTCTATCAAAACGACTAAGGATGTCTTTGGAGAATATTGTGTCTAGGGTGCAAGGGGCTTTTGTGAAAGGAAGACAAATCTTAGATGTCGCTTTAGTGGCAAATGAAGTAGTGGAGGAATATAAAAGTTCAAGGAGGGAGACTTATTTTTAAGGTGGATTTTGAGAAGGCATATGACTATGTGGATTGGCAGTTTTTGGACTTTGTAATGGACAAGAAGGGATCTTGGATTAGGAGATGTTTGTCGACTTGCAATATGCCAGTCATAGTTAATGGTAAACCAGGGGATTGCTTTAGGGCTTCGCGGGGGCTACAACAAGGGGACCCACTATCTCCTTTTCTTTTTATTTTGGTGGCTGATGTACTAGGAAGGATGGTCGATAGAACAAAAGAAGCAGCTCTTTTTGCAGGGTTGGAGATGGGGAGGGATAGAGTTTTAGTGTGACACATGTATAATATGCGGATGATACCATATTTTTTTCTTCAGGGCATAAAAGTCAAATAGTTAATCTTTATTCGATTCTGAGACTTTTTGGGGTTATCTCAGGGCTTAAGGTTAATTTGGGGAAAAATAGTGTGATGGGAATTAATATGCAGCAAGATCAGCTTCAAAACAGGGCAACACTTTTAGGATGTGCTATAGAGTCACTTTCGTTTAAGTATTTGGATCTTCCATTGGGGGTAATCCTAGGAATAAAGCTTTTTGGAATCCAGTTGTGAAAAAGATTGGCAAGAGATTAGAAGGGTGGAGCAAGGCTTTATTATTGCGTGGGGGTAGATACACTTTGGTTAAGATTGTTTTGAGTGATATTCCTATTTATTATTTATCTTTGTTCAAGGTTCCAGTTAAGATGGCAAGGTCACTAGAAAAGTTGATGAGGGATTTTCTTTGGGAAGGCAAGGATGAGGGAGAAAATGATCACTTGGTGAATTGGGAGTTAGTGTTGCTATCTAAGGAGAATGGGGGTTTGGCTATCGGTAATATTTTGGCTAGGAACAAAACCCTTCTTGGAAAGTGGTTATGGAGATTTTCACTTGAGACTAATTCACTATGGTATTCGGTTATAAGAAGCAAATATGGGACTCATGACAATCGTAGGGATTCAAGGGTGGTTTTGAATGGTAATTGTTATGCTCCTTGGAAGTCAATTTCTCAAATTTTCACTTGTTGGTCTCGTCATTTTTCTGTAAGGATGGGCAATGGGGAACTTGTTCAATTTTGGGAGGATATTTGGCTGGGTCAATCTTCTTTTGCTGTTGATTTCCCACATCTATATAGAGTGGCTCGATCTCATAATTCTTCAATTGCTTCCATGGATTGTTCACTTTTGGCTCCAATTTCTTGAAATTTTGATTTTTTTAGGAATCTTAAAGATAGGGAGGCTTCACTGTTGACTTCTTTATTATCCAGAATTGATAGAGATTAGTTGGCGGTGTGTGATATGTAGGCTTTTGCTCGTGATTAGCTTGTTAGGGGTTTCATTTTTTGTATTCTCATTGTCCTTTTGTAAGAGGATGCCTCATCCTCGCTTCCTTTTTTTGATTTATCAATAAAGTTTTTATTGTTGATCAATAAATAAATAAATAACTTCTTAAATCATGCACTCTAAATTTTGTCTAAACAATTTGCATTCTCCATTAAATAAGCAACCAATTCAAAAAACATACCTTCGAACATACTCCATTGAAGAAACAATTTAAATAGTGCCACATGTTTTATAAACACTTTTTCATAATCCGGGCATATTTTTACAAGAGGCAGAGCCATCCAAGGTATACATGAGATTGAAATTTTGGCGGACATTAAATGTGTCAACAACAGGCATTTTAAGGAGCATATGGCACTGCCTAAGCGATTTAAACTATTATCTTTTCCTGTGCCAACTATATTATAGACCATACAAAATTCAGGTAAGGTATTGGATGGTTTAGTTCAAACCAAAATTTAGTACGTAAGATGCTGTTTCTTGACAATCCCCTTACAGTAAATTAGATCAATAGAAAATTTCTAAAACACAAGAATCAGATTGTATTCCTCAATCAAAAATAAATGTAAGATATCCAAAGTTTGCAGGTCAAACCTGTAGAACCCAGTGAGCACAGCTCAAGAACCTTGCAACGCCCAATGCAAACACATAATGAGCTGTGAATGGTTCAACAATCTGAGAGAATAAAAAGAAGAATAAGCATGGAGCTGAGCACTAATACTTGATCCAAAGAAAATCAAGTATCTAAAGTTTCAGAGGATTTTACCTTTGTATTTTGCATGACACGCAGCTGGGGTAATACAGAAACAGCTTCCAAATATACACAGAATGCCCAGAAAACCCTGTTGATAAAATGATGTGATGTGGATGGATGAATTAGCAAAGCCAACACAGCACATGGTAGCACCTACAACATGATGAAAAACAAGGTTAATTTTTCTCGAGAAAAAAAGAATTTCACATAAGATATACAAAACAAAATTAACTTAGAAGTAACAAAAATGAATGTTCAAAATGCAGCTATTCGAATGAGCTAAGCTCATGCCTATAAGCCTAAAACTAGGAGCTCCTTTGATATCACATGCTATTCTACCAAAGCAATTTTGAAAAAATGCTGTCGATTATTTGATTATTGCAGCATGAAAGAAATGGAGAAAGTCTTATGTAATTATCTATTATGCATTTCATTGCTAATAGGACAAATTTCTTAAAACAGTTATATAATTGACCATTCTTCATGGTTATGCGAATCAATAACTAATGAGCATAGATGGCAAGATGTTCTAATCTATAAAAGAACCAATATTCACTGCTTCAATTCATAGTAGTACTTTCAAAATTATTAGCACATTGTCCAAAGCAAGGATCTTGAAATCCATATATGCAATTTGTAACTGGTAACAGCAATAAACACTAGTATTAATCCAGAAAATAGAAAAGACGGCTTCTCATAAATCAGTACACAAGAACAAAATGTTGGTTGCCAACCAAAAGCTGCAGCAATTTGATGTAAATTACATTAATGTATGCATATAGATATTATACGCATTGCAGAAGCTAGATTACTAAACACGGGATACTGAAATTTTGGCAGCCAAGGAAGATCAGAAAGGTCTCAGTAGTCATTACTTCTTCCAATCAAAATAATGATTTAACAAGAAGAACAAAATTAAATACACAAAATTCTAGTTGGACAGCATAGAGAAACAACTTGGCCTTAACCACTCATACACAATAATTAAATTTTAGTAGTGAGTAGAAAAAATGAGAGGGTTAAAGGAATACAGTAGAGTACCAAAGCAAAAATATGAATTTATTATCCATTATGAATGTAGTCCTACAAATGTCTAACATCTGATAATGAAACAGGAAAATATATATATATATAACACCTTCTGGTTCAGTATGACATGAACTTTACTTGCAGAATATTTGAAATTTTATAATCAGTTGTTTAATTTAAGCTTTGATTTAAGCAACAGCAAACTCCTATTCACATATCTCATAAAGAATTAATGACAAATTGGTGCTATTTGAAGGACAACAAGAAAGTCAAATCTTGTTGGTCCTTAAAAAGTTCAGAGTCGTTGATTCAAAAGAAAATATAAGAGGATACAGCATAAAATAGCATGGAAACAAGAAGGCTTACCACATAATATATAGCAAAGTTGTCTTTGTCCTCCATGTAGCTTGATTTCAGTTTAAAACGAATCATATAAATAACCCACAAGGTTGTAGCCAATGTGGACAAATCAAGCAATGTATGTATATCATATTCCATGACAAAACTGCAATACAGCCTAACAGCTAAAAATAAGGCTGTCAGGTCTTGAGATTTAAGTGAGAGTCCTGCAGATAATAACCAAATCCAATCAGTGTTGTTAGCCAATGTGTAATAAGAAAAGTGACTACATCCAAAACACAAGAGAAATAAGTTCCTAAAAGCAATAAATGTTGTGTGGCATAAGCAAACCACATTAACCCAATCAAGAAAGAAAAAGCAATTAACAATTTATATCCAGGGGAAGTATAAGAAACTATTTGAAGCTATATAATTCTAGCTTCAAATGAAGGAATATCGAGTCACTAGTGTTTCAATGAGTTTCAGAGAATAAATCTGTTGTTTTAACTTGCAGGACACAATTGGGTTCTCATGTAATAGATCCAGCATTGGATTCATGATGCCATGTAATGGGTGAAACAATTCATTATTCACTTGTTAACATTACCTCGTATATTTCAATTGCATAAGAAAGCAATGATTGAAAAAGTTGAGTAAATTACCATGAGGTTTTTTACTAAAATGATGAGGTAAACTACGCAAACAACAGCCCTTAGATCATGGTATCAAGCAATGGTAGTTAGACAAATTACGCTGCTGGAATGCATTTTAATTTGAAAATGAACAAAAGTATGTAGGAGTTGTAGAATCAAGCGAAAATTTTATTTTTCGTCTTAAAAATAGGCAAACTTATGAAAAACATTTGTGGGCCAAAGCAAAAACAAAAGTAGGTAGGAGTAAACAAACTAAAATGTTTTTTTCGTCTTAAAAATAGGCAAACACGTGAAAAACATTTGTGGGCCAAAGCAGAAACAACATAGTACATAGCACAAACTACAAATAACCTAACCTTCACAGGGTAGCCCTTGAATCCTTGATTGTCATAAAATGATATAAAAATTCAAGTATAAAATACACATGCACACGCTAAAAAGTAACAAATGGTATCAATAGAATTCCCAGGAAGACCCCAATAAGACGATAAGCAACAAATAACAATTTTTTATTTTTTTTTTATTTTTTTGATCAGCAACAACAAGTAACAAATAACAAATGTTATCAATAGAGTTCCCCAAGTTTCATAATGGAACCATGAATTGTGAATATCCAAGAGGACTCCAAGAGGAACCATGAATTGTGAATATACAAGTTCAACATTAACACTTACAACAGAGGTTCGCTGAATTGAGATAATAATGGCCATACTGACACATTATATTCAAAAATAGTTACCAACAAACGAAAATTGAGCCCTAAACCATTGATTGAGTCCACCACTAGATAAACAAAACTAGTTGACCATGCAATCCCCAGAAAACAGAAAAATGTAAAATTACCAATATAAAACTCTGTCCCATAAAACAAAGAGATAAAGACAATATTTCAATTTAGACCCAATTTTTATTTATTTTTTTTATAGAAAAACCGTAATGAGTGCAAACCCCAATACGCGAAACCATCAAAACAAACAAAACTAATTTATTCAACCTCCGTTTGGTTGCTGAGAAACCATGCGCGAAAAAAAATTTGGGATCTTATAACAGTCTCGAGATCACCCAATTGGCCAAAAGCTCCAAACTTTCCATTCTTTTCCTGTAATTCCCCAGCAACCAACCACAACCCATATCACATATACATAATATATTTATAAATTTGAGGATTTTGGATTACCAGCACAAGTTTTTTCCTTCATGAGCTTGTAGATAAGGACACAGATTCCCATTGAGTGAACAGCCTCGGCGGCGACGAAGAGGTTGTCGTGATCGTGTACGATGACTCGCAGCAACACCAGAGCAGCCATGCCGGTGACGACGGCGAGGAAAGCCTTCACCTTCGGGGGTTGTCGTCGGACCCATAACGAGACGGCTTGGATCGACCTTCTGGGTGGTCTCATGGTGGTCTCTGTTTCTCTATTTGGGGATTTGGAGAGGTGGGTGGGCGATCTACGGCGGCGATGCGGCGGCGAGAAAGTGAGAGAAAAAAGGCAGATTTATTGGGTATAGAAGAGGAAACAGTTGGGAGTTGGGAGAGCCCTTGGATTGTTTTTTATTTGGATTGTGATTGTTAAGAAAAATATAACACATTAGTAATAATCTTATTAACGTGAATCTTATTTTATTAAAATTTGTAAATGTATTAATAAGATTGTTAATGATTGTTGTATTAATAAGATTGTTAATGATTGTATGAGTATTTCTAACATTGTTAGATTATTAATGTTGTTTATTTCATTATGATGGACAATTGAAGTGTTGTTAGACCATGACTCTTGAGTCTTTTCAAGAAAATTATTCAATGTTCTTATAGTAAATTTAGTTGGTATTCTAAATAAATTGTTATTGGTTTAAATAAAAAAATTTTGTCATTTTGTGTTAGAATTTTAGAAAATAAAATGTTAGGTATCAATCTATAAATAAAATAGAATATTACTCTAAAAATATTGAATAATTTCTTCCTTTTCAAACATGGGGAGGAGTTCTGCTCTATTTTATTTATTTTTTTAATTTGTAAAATAAGATTTTACAATAATAATAATACACAAAAAAAATTACAAATTTAAAATAATTATATTATTTGTATATAAAAAAATAACTCATGTAATATATATTTTCATTTCCATCAATAATTGATATTATCATTATTCACATTAAAATTTATAGTAATTATCGATGCGATTAGACACTAGTTGTATTAGTTTTATTTTTTAATCTTACTAAAGATAATTGGTGTAGTTATACAATTTTTATGAGATTAATTATCTTATTTTTTAAAATTTCAATGGTAATAAATGTAATTTGTCCCTTCAATTTACCTTTTTAATCTTCAAACATTAAAAGAACTTAATAAAATCATAAACTAAAAGGTGCAGGTCAAACAAAATTTGATTAATTTGATAAAGGATCTTAATGGTATAGATCCATAAAAAAATCCTTGCAATCCACACAATTTGAAACTACCATTCACCACCTTCTTAATCATTGGGATATTTTGGGAAGCCCAAAAAAAACTAATTTTTAGTTTTTTATTCATTTTGAATCATATCATCTCTCACATCTTTTATCTGTAAAAAGACAAAATAAATTTAAAAAGTCAAAAAAATAATTTTTTATCAACTTCTTAAAACACTCCATTATCTCCCTAATCATAATCCTCCAATATCCCATAGGTTGCATCATTATTAAGACATTTAGGGCTGGTTTGGATAAACCTAAAAAAGATAAAAAGTTAAAAAAATTATTAAAAAAATAAAAAATTTATCATTATTCACAAATTAAAAATATAAAAAAAATTACACAAAAAAAGAACAAACCAACTCACTTCTGAAGTGATCATACAATCTGACTTTGTTTGTACAAATTACACAGGCGGGTGCACAAACAGGAAGGTGTTGTTCAGCCTCTGGGGGCCATCACGGGTTCCGTTTTGATCATTTGAACCGTCAATATGTAGAACTCGTCGAGTACTATAAGCTTGTAAAAAATCACGTTAATTGAATATCGATAACTATATGATCAAATCAGTTTTGTATAAAAAAATAGACAGTAAACAAATTAACGGTTCACAAAAAACTAATCCGATAAGATAGTTATCGATATTCAATCAACGTGATATTTTATAAGTATATAGTACTCAACAAGTTTTACACATTGAACAGTTCTGATTATCAAAACGGGACCGTGGTAGGTCTCCACAGGCCAAACAGCACCGTCTAATCCGATCTCGAACTGAAGGCAAGCTTCTTCTATACATGTTCTGAAGTATGCTGCCCAACCTAAGTACTGGCCATAAGTCTCAATCATTATCAGTACACCTTGTTTTATTTTAGGGGTAATATGATAATTTTGCTATTTTATACAATATTTTAATACACATTTTTTCGTAAAAAGTCAAAAAAGTTATTCCAAACATACATATTTTTTTCCTCTACTCTTTTTACCAAAAAATCAAAAAGTGTATTTATTTAGAACATCCCAAACAACTCCTTACTATGTAATGTCTTTTTTCGTTTTAAACTATTATCGTTATTCACTAATTAACCATGTAAGTATTATTTTCCTCCAAATAGACCCAATCCCTCCCGCTATACTTCAACATTAATTACTCAAATCGACTTAGCTTCTTCTACTTTACCCTTACTTTACCCTTACTTTACCCTTAATCTAAAACCTACTATGTCACGCCCCAAAATTTGGACATAAATATTAAATTAAGACTAAACCACAATCAATTCCATCACCTAAATCCTAGAAGTAAAACAAAAAAAACTAAACATTCTCGTCTCTGTAACGTTTAAATAAATTTAATCCTCAAAAAATTACAAGGGATTAAAAAAAAACTAACAAAACGCCAACCAAACCATCTACCATAATTACATAACTAACATTAAAGTAACAATAACTAATCAAAACAACTTAAATAATGCAAAGTTGAAATATAACCTACAATGTGGGTGTTTGGGAGGTTGCTATTTTAGTAGGTTATTTTAGTTTTTGGCTATTTTAGAAGGCTAAAATTTTTGTATTTGAGAAGAAAATTGGATTTTTTTATAGTTAGATGTGATGTTTGTGAGAGAAAAAATGAAATGATTATGGGTTTTGTAGACACCCCATTTTTGACCGCCCTTAACACTTGGGCGTTACTAATTGTTTACTTAGTGATCAGGTGTGCAGTGCAAAGGTTCAATTTCTGCAACAAGGAGAGAGTCAAATCCCAACTTCATACCCCTCTTAGACCAAAACAATCTTGATTAAAAGATTTTAGACCTTGAAACCCTCTCTTTCAAAATAGTTTTTTTAAAAAAAAAAGTTCCTACGATGTTCCGACGCTCGCATTTTGTTAAATGTTGCGTTTTTTGGTAAACCGAGCAAAGACAAAGTGGAATAAATGAAGGAGAGGTGAAATCTTCGAAAAATCTTTCAAAACACCTTATTTAGGGGTTTGGAGTTGAAGAAAAGAGGAGAAGAGGGAAGAAACCAAGCTGGAGAAGAAGATGGGCATGAATCGCTAAGAGAGAGTCGAGCAACCCTCACTAAAACAGGTCTATCCTCTTGTACACTTGGATTTAAGCTATGATACTACCACCGTTGGAAAGAAGACTTCTGGGGCTTCATTTTTCCCTCAAGAATCTTCTAAAGCCGAGTCCGAATGGGAGAGATATAGTTATTGGAAGTTAGGCATCAATTCGATTAAGCTGAAACTGAGTAGTCTTCACTAAAAGAGGCATAACTTTTTGCACAGTTGAAATTTTGATGTAAGGCTGACACCATTGGAAATCTTACTTCCGGGGCTTAAATTTGGACACAAAAATGACCTGAAAAGGAATCCATATGAAGGAGTTATGCCCATTTGAAGTTGGACCTGCAGAGCAGAATGTTCTATCAGCCACAAACGTGCACAGTCGGCCATAGAGATGGCCAATCGGCCATCACAAGTAGCAGATCGGCACCAAAGATGGCCGGTCGGCCAAGAGTGACCCAAACTCAAAATTTTTGAAAATATTTCTCCTCCAGCTATTTCCAGCTTGCTCCAGCTGTCCCAATTCAGATATTTTCGACCAAGCTTGATATTTTGCTATATATGAGAGCCTTATATCTCATATTCAAGAGGTTAGAACATTGAAGCAATTTTGGGAACCTTTCTCTCTAAAAATTCCTCTCTCTCTAGAAATTTCAGAGCTAAATCTTTGTCTCTCTCTCATTCTCTTGCCTTTGTGTGCATAACAAGAGATACACTTGGAGATACATCCCTCCTTTGCCTAGGCATCCTTCATCAAAGTTGTATATCATTGGGCTGAGGTCCCTTAAAGCCTATTTTGAGCTCTCAAAGGCTGATTTTGGATCAGATTTTGGCTGGTTTTGCTGCTGAGCTTCAAGGTGCTTCAAGGGTAAGCACTTGTTTCTTTAAAGCTTTGCTTTGCATGCTTGTTTTACCACTTTTGTAAACTGTTTTTGGCTTGGTTTTGAACTGAGAAAATCTCTGTTTTTCACTCCTAAATGTGATGGTTTAGGCCTATTTTATGTTAGGGGGTTGTCTCTCCCTTTGCTCTTTGGCTTATAAAGCCTTTAGAGCCAACTTCCTAAGCTTTTGAAACCATCTTTGTTTGGCCTTTTAACCACTGAAATCCAATAGATTTTCAGTGGTAAAAATGTGATTTTGAGGTGCAAAATAGGAGGGGGTGGTCCCCTCTCCTCTTGTCTTGGTTCTATGCCTTGTTAGCCTAATTATTGAACATGTTTTTCTAGCATGTGTTGGCTTGTTCTTAGCTTATTTTTGGGCTTATTTCAGCATGGCATAACTCTGTTTTTGGCTTGTTTGATCATTGGTTGGATACTCCATGCACTTGTAGTGTAAATCCTTTTTGCCATGCCTTGTTAGCACTATAAAGTAGCATCTTTTTGTGGCTTATATTGGCTCTTTTCAAGCATGTTTTTGTGAATTTTAGGACCTGACATAACTCTGTTTTGGGCTGGTTTGGTCACAACTTGCATGCTCCATGTACTTGTAGTGCAATATTGCCCATTAGCCTAGTGTACTTGGTGTTTTGGCCCTTCATGCTAGCTTGTCTTGGCTATACTCCATACATGTTTTAGCATTGTTTTGACATGCTTTAGGACTGTTTTGGGTTGCCTTGGTCATATGACTCATTTTTTGTATAGCTATAGTGCAAAAGCCTTGACTAGTCTTGAGTTTGAGGCCCCTACCATGCTATACTTGTGATGTTTGCATGCCTTGGCATCATTTGGTAGGTAATTTCAGACCATAAACTTCTGCCATGCTCTCATGATTATCACTCTTTCATTGTGTTTAAAAGTTGTGCCCTTATGCCTTGTTTATGAGCTAATTTGGGAGCCTATCTTTCTTGCCATCTTTGTTGTGAGTCTAGCATGTTTTTGCTATTATTTTGACCTGCCTTAGGTCTTTTTTGAGTGCTTTAGGTTATTTGAGCATTGTTTGGTATGGTTGTAGTGTAAAGCCCTTGACTAACTTTGTATTTCAAGTCTCTTGGCATGCTTTATTTGAGCTATGTGCATGATTTGGCATCATTTCTTACATGATTTCAGAGCATA